CTTATAAAATCCATGAAGAAGGGATTTTACAGTATCATAATGGAAAAAGACATTAAATCATCTATATTATTAAATACGGCCAAGTTTTTGATTGATTTTGATCATCACATCGTTCCACCAATTCATCGTTGGCTGTTCAATCTGTATCATCATCATATGGATAACAACAACAACGACATGTTCATGGATCAGAATCAAATATTTTCAATGAGAAAATTTTAACGAATTCCAATTAATCTGGTATTTCACTTCACTATCAAATCAGTTGAATATAATACAAAAACAATGTTACATGATGTAACATTGTCGTTAAATCAAAATCAACGGCCATCGACAATGACCGATATAGGTGAACAAATTAAACAATATGTCAATTATATTCTACTACAGCAACGAAACGATAATCATAACGATATTGATGACAGAATAATGGCTATCAATAATAATGAATTTGATTCAACAAAGACATCATCATTAACAATGATGAATTTAGATCATAACTTAACTTTGATGATAATCATCTTCATTCAACAATGACTAAAATTCGGTTTGAACAATAACAACGATGATTATCATGGCAAAAGAGTTAAAATCAGAAGAACAGATTGTAACCGATGATAATATTTCAAAACCAATAGTCAACATTGATGATAAGAATGGAAAACAAATCATACGAATGAATGGGAATTTGTCAATGATAAAATCATCATCAACAACAACAACAACAAAAACAACAATACCGGCAGATAGAAATGATTGTGAAGAAACAATGAGCAATACAAATAACATTAAAAGTAATCATCGTAGACAACAACAACAACAACAGCTTGGAAATGGTAAACAAATTGAACAAATCATTGATGATCAAAGAAAAAAATTGGTAGCAAAAAATATCATTGAAGGAAACGTTCAAGAAATCATTATGTTCATGATGATTTAGAGGGTGGATCAATGAAAAAAACAACAACAACAACGACGAATTAGAAAAGGCGTTAATGACAATATTGAAGATGATGATGATGTGAATACTATTATAATCGATAAATCGGATTTCATATCAACACCATCGATGATGATGCCCACAGCGACAACAACAGTAGCAGCTATAAAATGATGATTGTACCAACATTGACGCCCATAATAACATCAAAAACAACGGAAACCAAAAAAACTAAAGAAAATTATAAATATGAATTGCTCGATTATCATCCATTTGCATCATCCAACATCAGTAATGATCATCATTTGATGAAATCAAATGTACAAATAAATGAAAATGTAAATGTTTTATCGCCAACAGCAACAACAACAACATCGACGACAACATTATCATCATCAACAACAATTATTGACTATTCAACAACTGAATTGTTGAGTAAATCATCGGTAATTATAATGGATGATGATGATAATCATAATAATCACACAACGAGCAACCACTGTATTTATTTTCGTTGAAAAAAAAAGAAAAACATTGACAAATCGGATCATAGATATCAATCATGATTAAGTATTTTCCAATCGGAAGACATATGTTCGAATTTGATTTGAAATTATAACAGTTTACACATTACGATGGCTGGATCGAATAAATCCATTGAACAAATATTAAAATGAAAATTTTTTTTTGAAAAGTATCTTATTTCATTCATTTTTAAGTAAACATTTCACCCAGTCTCGGTTTTCCTCATAAAATAAATCCAAATGTTAAACATTGTTGAAAATGAAATAAAAAAAAAAAAACAAAAACCCAATGCTGCCAAAGATAAAAATAAAAATGAAAAAATTGAAGAAAAAAAAATCCTGTCAACTTTTCATGTCAACAGAATATTTTTTTTCCATTCTCCATTGGTTCATTGAAAATCAATGAATTGATGTTGTTATCTTAACGTGGCCAGAATCTACAGCCATTTATGCTGTATACATGTCTGCAGGAATGACATATCGACAGTTTGGATGAACAAAAAAAAAAAATGAAATTTCATTTCATTCTATTTTCTTGTCTTTTTTTTCGAATTATTCAATTATCACTTTGTGTGTGTGTGTAGGTGTGCGTGTTTCGAAAAAATGATGATGATAATAATGGTTTCAAACTAAATGAATGAAAAGTCAATTTATTTTTTTTTATTTTTTGGATCAAAGTAGTCTCGCACCATTCGTTGATTTATAATTCGTAATTTGTTGATATTTAAAATTAGAAAATTGAACAGGGAAGTGTAAAAAAAAATTTCGTTATATTTCAATATTCTTGATGAATCATTATTCAGGTAGAAAAAAAAACACAGATTCCTGGAATCTCACCATTGTGAGAGTATATGAATGAATTCCATGCAGATAATAATAATAAATGATTGAATGATAATAAAATGGAAATGTTTTCCCGAAATATATTTCTGCTATATATATATAAATATGAATAGAGATGATTTTTTCGAGATGATCGTCGAATGAATTGTGATTCAATCAATCAAATGGGAAAAAAAAATTTCCACTGACTTTTTTTGTGTTACGATGTTGTTTTTTTTGTTGTTGTTGTTGTTGTTGTTGCCAATATTACATCATCATCATTGTAAAGTGGGGAAAAAATTTTTTTTTTTCCTATTCATCGTCGTCATCATATTGGATCAAAAAAACGATATATATATGAAAAAAAATACGGAACATTGAGGAAATTGAATTAAATCAATCATCATTGCAACTATTACAATGATGATTATGGTGATGATTATATTGAATGGAATAGAGAGAGAGAGAGAGAGAAGAAAAAAGAGGCAAAATTGATAATAGAAATAACAATAACAATAATAATCGTAATTTAAAAAATTGTTATTCGAAAATTGTATAATGATTCATGAATGTTTCTGAATTGATTCGAAATTTTTTCCCCTTTACAATCAATTGACCAATTCGTTTTTTTTTTTGCTGTTCTTGTTGTTGTTGTTGTTGTAAATATTATTAAATTATAGAAAATTTCAATAAAATTCTCATTCCGTTCATAATTGATGGCAACAATATTGACCAAATCAATGTTATGGTACATGTGTTGTTTCCGTTATTGAAATTTCTTTTAGTGTGTATTTTATTTTTTTATTATTTATTTTGTGATTGAAAATTCTAAACAACAACAACAACAACAAAAAAAATGTACCATCAAAATCCAAATTATATTCGTAAATATGGTGGTGGTGGTGGTCCAAAACATCCACAACAACAACAACAACAACAGCAGATGAATCAAGAAATGGCTGTTGTTGGTGGTGGTGGTGGTATGGGGGGTGTTGTTGGTGGAAATGTGAATCGTAATTATCCATATCAAAAACAGATGCCATATAATCCTTATTATAATCCACAACAACAACAACAACAACCACCACCACCAACACAATCGGTAGGAAAACAAATTCCACCACCATCACCACAAACACCAGTAGTATCACCAGGACAGGAAATGGGTGCAAACACTGATTCATCGATTACCGTCATACAACAGCAAATTGATTTCATCAATTTACGTATTGATCGTCTAGAACAGATTGTATATCAGCAACAGATAATGATTATGTTGCAACAACAACAACAACAAAACCAGCAATCAGAATTTCCGCATAAAAGTCAACCAAGTAATCCTAGTAATAAAAGTCAACCAATTAATACAAGTTCACCAAGTCAAGAAACATTACCTCAACACCCACAACAACATAAACAAGAAGAAACACAACAACAACAACAACAACAACAACAACAACAACAACAAAAACAAGAAACACAACAACAACAACAACAGCAGGCACATCCAAAACAAACAACAGAAAAAAAAGAAAATCAAGCCAAATTGAATCAATCATTAAATCATTTATGTGAATTATTTGAGAAATTTTTCGATCAACAATTGGAAAATCCAACAGAATCAACACAAAGAAAATTAGTTGCATTGCCGTTAGTAATGCCACCTGGAAATGAAAATACAAACCAAAATATTATTCGCCAACAACAACAACAACAACAACAACAACAACAACAACAGCAACAGCAACAACGAATAGTGGCCGGTAATCAAAATGAAAATATTAATGATAATACAGATGATGAAAATTTGGATGTAAAAAAATTAATCAAACGCAACAATAGTAAAGATGATAGACATAGACATAAGAATGATAAAAGTTCTAGCCGATTACGTTTAACAGCAGGAAACAACAACAACAACAACAACAACAACAACAACACCATCTCCATCAACGACGAGAATCATTAACAAAAAATGTGATTGAAAAAGTGAAACGAATACCATCGGATGCACCAACAGCATTGATTGCTCCTACCGATTATGAACATATTTATTCAATTAAAAATACAAATGCACGTTATTATGAAGATGAACAACATAAATTAGCACATGCTAATAAGCATATTAAAAAATGAATGAAATGAAATGAAATGAAAATTTAATTCTTCATATGAATAAATGAATTCTATGTTGTTTTGTGTCATTCAATGAAAATAAAAAGATTCTCAAATATACCACTACTAATATGTCCTACGAATTATTATTCCATTTTAATGCTGCTACCTAATTCATATGATTTCGAATTTGAAAACAACAACAACAACAACAAAACTTTGTATTCGTTTCACACTAATCAATTATTCAACGATAATATATGTTATATATGTTTTGTGATTGTTGTTCTATAATCGAACAACAACAAGAACAAAAAAAAGATGTGTATTCACATCATGCATACAGCTAATGTATTGTGTAATCCATAAGCCATAAAAACAAAAGAATTGTCAAAAATAAATGAGCACATTCATCGATTCAAAGATTCCGGTATATATATTGTCGAATCCATGAATTATTTACATCCGAGTATAGTGGTATTGTGTGTTTTGTATATAATCAGGAATAATAATGAATAATGTTTTTTTTTATATTCTTAAAATCGAGAATATTCACATTGAATGAATATATATCATCATTATTATGGAATGTTTTTGATTCATAAAATTCCTTGTTAAATGAATGAAATCGAGGAAAAAGGAAATGATTTGAAAATTCTTTTTTTTTATTATCATTAAAAATGAGAATAAGAAAAGGAAAAAGGAAATAATGATAGTTTCTAGGACAAATTATATTTACAAAAAGAGATTCCATTATGGAATAGGTGTGTCTGTGTGTGTGTATAATGAGAATTATATAATCATGTTGAATTTCTTTGAATTGAATAATTTCATTCATAAAGTGTATGTATCCTTTGTGTAGGTGGTGGGTGGGTGTCTGGATGTGTCTACTGAGATTTTTTTTTTTTTGTACAAAAAATGGACTGAGATTCTTGATATTTGATGAAAACTGGTTATATGAATGTTTCATTTGTGTTGTGTTTGTATGAAAGAGAGGTGTGTTCAAATAATTTGCTGTTGTTTATAATGGGGGTGGGGTGAGAAAAAAAAATATAATGTTGAAATGAAATGTTAAGTAAATTGTGAGGAAAAATAGAAGCGAAAAAAAATCAATTATTCAAATATATATTAAGATTTAATTACGATAACGACGTGCAAAACGGAAATTATTTTGGCTATAAAGATTAATATGTTCCTCTGATGATGATGATGATGGTGATGATAATGGCGTGGATGATGATGAAACTAATGGCTCATTCATCATCATACTACGTCGACGAATTTGTTGATCATGATTATGGTAATGATGATTTTGATGTAGATGATGTTGATGATTATTATTATTATTACTATTATGATGATGATGATGATTATGATTAAGACGATAATCACTAATTGAAGTTGGTGCTATATCACCAAATCTTTTAAAATTCATATAATGATATGTTCTCAATGGACCAGCAACATTATTGATACCGCCATAAGCTGAACGTGATCGGCGTTTAAATTCTTTCAATTTTCCAATAGTACCATCAGTTTTAATAAAACGTGCTGATTGTGTTGATGGTTGTTGTTGTAGAAATGAAGTATTTGGACGCATTATTCTCATTTTTCCAGCTACATCTGTTGCCAGTCGATTATTGATGGTTGTTTGTGGACCAACAATTTGGCCACTAACCGAAAATGATCCAAATGGTCTCATCATCATTATAGGATTGGCTGATGTTTTGTTGCTGCTGAAGAAGCTGACATTTTTTGTTGTTGTTGTTGTTACCCAATTGTTTTTTAATATCATTCAATGAGATACGAAATTCTTTGATAATTTTAAACTTTTTTCCATTATTATTATTATTATCATCATCATTATTCTGATTATTTTCTTTGTTGTTATTATCAACATCATTTGATAATTTCATTGGCATCATACTTTTCATAGGAATATTCATCATTTTTATACTATTTGCATTGATTGGTAATGATGATGATGATTTTGTTGACTTTTGTTGTTGTTGTTGTTGTTGTTTTTTAGATAAAAGATTGTCAATATATTGTTTAATAATATCATTATAATGTAAATTAGCTTCTTTATCATTGAATTCGGTTGGTTCCAACACTGAATTATTAGTTCCTGATGATAATGATGGTGATGATGATGAATTGGATTCGGCCAAATTTTGTAAATCTAATGCGATTTGGTTGATTGTGGGGAGAATGAAGAAAAAAAAGTCAAATTAAAAATCAACATCAATAGACGAGAAAATAATAAATACCATTATTGCTTTCGGATCCAAATCGATGTAAAATGGATTTATTTTCATGATTCAATATTCTTGATGGTAATAGTGGTGATGGTGCTGGTTCAACTTTACCCACTATTTCTGATCCATATGCCATCGGTTGATATTCTAGATGAAAAAAATGAAAAAAAAAATTTTTATTTGAATAAAAAAAATTTCAAAATCTAACCTGTAAATCTATGTATTTTTGCATTGTCACCAAATCCAAATGGACCTTGTGTACGAAATTGTTGTCGTTGTTGTTGTTGTTGTTGCTGCTGCTGCTGGTGATGTTGTTGTTGTTGTTGCTGTTGTACAATCGAACCATCTTGTGGTGCAGCTTTCGAAATAATTGTCTTCATTTCTTCAATAACTGGTTCAACTTTTTGTAAAACTTTACGAAATGGTTGTACAACTTCCGTTACTTCTTGTATTACCGGACGATATACATTATGGATGACACGATGTGGTTCTTCTTCAGAATTAATTTCTTTCGGTTCTTCAGCCGGTTCTATTAACAATGAGAAAATGATGATGATGATGATGAAAAAAAATCGAATCATTATCAACATATCATAAATTTAAAATTTTTTAAAAAATTTAAATATTTTTTTTTCTAAGGATTGGGTGCCACATATAATCATTAATCGTGTGTTGCAATGAACAAATAAAAAATAAAAAATGATGATGCACAGCAAAAATGAATGAATGCATTTGGGTGTTGTATCACATGTGATGGCTGTGTAGCGGTGGGGGTGGGGGAGACTGTAGGAGAAACGGAGGGGTGAAAAACGATGTGATGATAAATGTGTTTGAAATTTGAAATTTAAAAAAAATATACGGAAAAAAACATTGCTATCTTCAGCATACAACATTGACTTGTGAATTTTTTTTTTTTTTTGGTTTCATCCTCATTTTGTTTTGTTGAAAATTCATAATCTAATAATAATGATGATGATGATGATGATGATCTGTCCAGATAATTGTTGTTGTTGTTGTTGTTGTACGTTGAAAGTTACCATTCAAAAATATAAAAAATTTAATGTTGCTCGTGTGTTATACATCATCGTGCATATGGATCATCATCATCATCATGATATCTGATTTTTGCTTGGGATAGTTTCATTCATTCTACCTTGTTGTGTGTGTGTGTGTGTTTGTGTTTATATCATCATCTAATTATAAAATCACATTTTTTTTCTTATCCATCATTGTCGATGGGTTAATATTATCATCATCATCATCATCATTTAACAGTTATAATGATGTTTTCATTATTTTTTTTCATCACGCCATCTATTTCTATTTTTTTCTGTTTTGTTTTGTTCATCAACAACAACATAATTTTTTTTTTTTTTTTTTTTGTTCAAGCCAATTAAAATGGGAGCAGCTTTACCAACAACAACATAATGGTGCCATAAACATTGATAGTGAGAGATAAAGCAAAAAGAAAAGGATTATGATGAAATGAATGGATCATTGATGATGACCATAGGATGTGATTTTTTTCATTTTCAGACATCATCATATGAATGGATGGACAACTTTAAAAAAAAAAACAAAATGCAATCTAGAGTGGCTGACAACATGAACAACAACAACAACTAAAAACTGCTTCCCGGTTTTATTACATTATTATCGAGAAAATTTAAAACCGGATAATCATTATCATGATGAACAAATAAATTAATGAATTCGGTTCGATACATATATCTATCATGATCAATCAATCAATCAAATGAAATGAAATCAATTGATTTATGTAAATTATTAAATTTCAATCAATACATGAATGAATGATGAATGAATATATTATGGATCAATCAAAATTTTATCAGATATCAATGGCGATGGCACGTAATCAATTATAATAATAATAAAAGAAAAATGAAAATGAAACTTTTTAACACTCATTTACATACAAATTCAATTATCAACCAAGTTATTTCATTTTTCTTTTCTTTTCATTAGATTAATTGAAATGAAAAAAAGCCGTTATTCGATTTATTCATCATCATTATTTGTGTGTGTGTGTGTGTGTATGTAATAACCAAATACAGTAAAAAGTAATAATGAATAAGAAATGGGAAATGAATTTGAATCCAATCATCATCATCATTGAATGTGATTAATTGATGTGTAAAGGAAACACACACACACAAAAATTACAACAGCTTAGACCAAAAAAAAAAAAAAAAAAAATTTCAACTGAAAATATGATACATTTCCGTGAAATGTAATGAAAGAAAACAAAAATGGATTGTTATTGCCTGTGTGTGTGTGTGTGTGTGTGTGTGTGTGTGTGTGTTATAATTCATGTTCATCTCCATTTTTTCATCTATAATCCATGTGTTCCTTGTTCCTTGTATTTAAAAAAAAAAAAATGGTCTACATTTATATCCTAAACCGAAGAAAAGAAAAACCGTCAAGGATTGTATTTCTTGGTTGTCTAAATTCATAATCATGGACAATGTGATTATCATTTTTCTTGATGATGATGATGATGATGAATATCTATTGATTCAAAGCTGTTTCACAAATGATAACAACAAGAACCGGATAGGATTAAATTTCTTTACTCAACCACTCAAGCAATCTACATTTTTCAATATTTTTTTTCAATTTAAAATCGATGAATTATGAACAAAACAAAACACAAAACAAAATTTTAGTAAAAAATGAAAAATTTTACACAAATGGAAAAAAAGAATAATGTGTATTGATTTGATTCAGAACTAATTGTTTTTCAACTGAAACAAAATCGATTATGATATAAACAATTTCCAATTTATATCGTTTTTATATATTTTGAATGGTATAAAAATAGTTTAAATCTCTTCATATATATATCAGAAAGCTCATCACCATGATCATGATTGATGGTATTGCAATGGAAAGCCATTGCACTTTCATCATCATCATCATCATCATGTTTCATCGAATGAAGCGAAAAAAAACAACAACAACAACAAAAACGGAAAAGTTTGTCGATTCCGCAATTCGAATGCACATTGATTTCAAAAATTTGTTTGAAATTTTTGATCTTTGAAAGAAATGACAAGCAGGAATTGGCCACAAGAATTGGCATAGCATGTGATGATGAAAATTGAATAAAAATTGCCAAATCATTATATTGGATATGTAGAGCGAAAGAAATGAAAACGAATGGAATGAAATTAAAAAAAAAAATTAAAACAAACAAACAAAAAAAAAAAATCTAGTTTCCTGCAGCGTACACTATATTCATAATCAAAAAAAGAGAACAAAAAAAATCACAAATCATACATTCCATAGAATGATGATTGTTCGGAGAAATTTTCCTCCCACACATGAAACTTTTTTTTTCTCAAACATTTGTTTGTTTGTTTATGTTTCCTGTTGTTTGTGAATGTTGGTGATGTTTATCACAGCTTGAGCAATCTTTTTAATTCAGATAGGGTTACCATACATCACAATCAAATATAATAATGATGATGATGATGATAATAATTAAAATAATATATGGCCACACATCCGTGTCGATCAAAAAAAAAAAAAAAAAAACAAAAACAAAAACAATCAGTTGGAAGCAAAAAAGGGAAAAAATTTTTTTTTTTTCATTTCCACTTCAAATTCCGTACAATGACATGAAATAAATCAGTGTCCAGCACAAAACATCATCATCATCATCATCATTATTGAAAAACAAAATTTAATCAAAGAGAAACAAAAAATTGTCTTCTGTTTTGTTGTTGGATTAGTGATTTTTTTTCTCACTGATTAACTGTGAAAAAAAAGTCATGTCAAACATATTTATTGTTTTTTTGTTTGTGAATCCAGTCAAAATCTTTTTGTCAAGTAGAAAACCAAAAAAAACGGTAATCCAATCCAATCATCATCAAAGTCATCACGAATCGAATTAAATTCAATCACATCACATCATTTATTCAGATTACACATTATTTTGACATTAAACAAACAAAATGAGAACAAAATCAGCAAAAAAAAATCAAATTTTAATGAAATGAATGAATGAAAAAAAATTTTCATGAAAGAAATAAAATTAAAACCAAAAAATTCTAATGATTATTATAACACCTGACGATATAAAGATAATGCAAAAAAAAACAATACCTGGACACAGGAAAAAATGGGCGAACACATAAATCTCAAAATAGAAAACAACAACAACAACAACAATAAATGATGATGATGTGATCGTTGTCGTATCATATATAATACAATGGATTCCAAATACACACAGAGTGAAAGGGTTGAAATTTTTTTTTTTTTTACTTCCACTGCATTCTATTATTGTATTCGATCATACACACACACACACACATTCATCATCTTTAATTATTCACACATTCAATGTAGGATCGTGAATCTTTTTTTTCCATTTCCAACATTTCAGAGTTAATTAGATTCACGTATTTTTTCTTATTTTTTTGATTGTTTTTGGCAAAAACAAAAATTGTCATCCAGGTAAATTAATAAAATTGATGACAAAATGACAAAAAAAAATCAAATCAATTCAATTCAATTCAATTTTTTTTGTTTCGAAAATTGAATGAAAATAATTAATCAATGAAAACCGGTAAATTTGGACTGACCTGATTTATGTTCTTGATTGACATTCAATTTATTTGTCTGTGTTTTGAATACAATCGATACGGGCACTTCGTATGGTGATATTTCAATCACTTGTGGTTCACCATCATTACCATCTTCAAATTTTACCGGTATTACTTCGACAGTTTTTTTACTATGTACAGCCATTTCTACTGGTCCTTGTGGCCTATATTTTGTATCACTGCCACTAAATTTATCCATTTGATTCAGGAAACCATCACTATTTAATATGGCATTTATACCAGATGAATAAATGTTTGTCTCTTCTTTTGGTTCTCTTGCAAATGTCGATGTAAATGTATATGAACTTTCAGCTAAACGTTCACCATAGCTTGAACGATCTTCTGAACTAACTGATTCTGATGATGATGATGATGATGGCGAAGAATGATTTGATTCATCTTCAGATGTATCTTGACCATTGATGAATGAAATGGAAAAACAAGAAAAGATGATTAAAATAATGATGATGATAAATGAAATGAAATTTCGTTGTCGATTATAACCCATTATTATAGATGGACAATTGTCGAATAGATTCATTTTTTTTTATTTTGTTATGTGATTGAAAATTATTTGCAAAAAAAAATCTGAAAAAATTGATATTTCGATGAAACGGAATTTATGTTATGATTAACAACAGCAACAACAACAACAACAACAACAGATTATCAGCAATTGCCAATTGCAATAAACAGACACATTATTATCATTGAAAGATTGTTGTTGAATGTGTTGAATCGGTGATTTAACTTTTTGCAATGATGATGATGATGATGATGATTATGGCACCACAAAACTCCCCGAAAAAAACAAACAAACAAACAATCAACAGTCAAATTGGACACATATTAATAAGTGAAAAAAAACATTCCTGAATGATGATGATGATGATGATGATTATGGTTTACAGGTTTGAAAATCTGAAAAAAAAGTGAAAATGAATTTCACTTTTTATATACTCGTGTCATCATTGGTTTAACGTGGATGGTGAATAGGAAGACCGAAAACAAAATAGAACAGAACAGAAAAAATTCTACAAATTTTCATTCAAAATTGGATTTTCTCTTTCATTTCTCCAATTCGACCACACACTGTTGCTCTCACTTTTTTCTTCAATCATCATCATCATCATCATCATCATCATCATAGATAGTTTTTTGGATGTCCAATAGATTGAATCAGACAGATTGGTTATATTTTCTCTCTTCAATTTGTTTGTTGTTGTTGTTGTTGTTGTTAGTGATGATATTCGTCACTTTCACTATACAGGTCGGTATATTCGGTCACTGAATTTTTGTTTCATTTTTTTTTTTCGTATATTCGTATTATAAACCCGAAATAAAAAAGAGCCACATCTTTTGATATAATCGAATCAAAGAACAAGAAGAAACTTGTTGCCGCTGCTGCTTATGGTAACATCTCATTATGTGTGTGTGTGTATACATGGGTGGAATTGTCGTTTGCCTTGTTTTTTTGTTTTGTTTGCATCTCATTTATAATGTATCCATATCCAGATTTTTAGATCTAGATTGTTTTTATCAATTGTTAGCCACCACCACCACAGCAGCAGCAGCAGCAACAGCATTAGTAGTAGTAGTGGTGGTGGTGGTGGTGGTGATGGCTATTTTTCGATGATTCATATAAATCAAAAAAATGCTATTTTAATTTAACCCAAAAAAATTCTGAATTCAAAAAAAAAAAATCAATCCATTGAGGCAAAGCAAAGAACAAAACAAAATTGAATTTCACATTCCTTCGTGTATTGAATTCGTTATTGGGCATCAAACAAACAAATAAACAAACGAAAAAAAAAATCGAATCGAATCGAACAACAATAACAAACAAACAAACAAACAAAGAATAAAATTAAAATATATCGAAATGAAAAAAAAATCGCTGATACAACGGGTTTTATATTTCGAACAAACAAAACAAAACAAAACAAAACGAAAAAAAATGAATTGAAAATCTAGTGAAGAATAACACTATCAAAGTTTGCATTTCATGTCGATCAAAATAAAATAAAAAATATAAAATGAAAAAAACGAACGCATCAATCTACATTTAAATTATATAAAAAAAAGTGGCCATTGTTATTATTGGAAGGACGAAGAAGAAGAAGAAGGGATTATTCGAAATTCCAGGAACAACGGAAACATTATAGAGAGAGAGAAAAAAAAATCAACAAAACATTGTTTATTGATGAAGCATATCGGTATTTGAAAATTATTATTATTTTGATTAGGATATTTTTAGCTAACTTTTTTCTTTTTATTTTGACAATTGAAATATATGTGTGTGTGTGTGTATGTAAAGAGCATGATGCCTATGATCATCATCATCATCATCATCATCATAAGGAAATCAGATCTTACCATGAATAATATACGATTGAAGATTTTGAATTATAATTCCAAACTACTACTACTACTACTAGTACTACTATTATGTAATAAACGGTACATACGAATTATGTACTGCTCACATATGGATAAATATATGGTTTTTTTTTGCACCTCTCTATCATTCGATGATGATGATGATGATGATGGTGATTTTTAGCATAATGGAATCTCTTTCAAATGTATTTTATACACATCCAGGCGATCAATGGCTTTTATATGTTGAGTTTGTGTGTGGTCATCATCATCGTCATCATAATAATAATAATAATGATGATGATGATGATGATCTACCATGTTTTTGATATTGGATTTTCTATATATACAAAAAATCGTGGACATAGAAAGCGATAGAAATCGGTTTTCAAATTATAAATAAAAATTTGCATAATAAAAAAAAACAACAAAACAAAAATACTGAAAATATCGATGATTCTAATCTGATCGTTGTTGTTGTTTTTTGTTGATTATCGAAAACATTTGGATGAGGGTGTGTGTGTGTGTGTGTGTGTGATATATGAATATTGGATGCCTAACCCTAATTTATCGAATGATATGATATGAAACAATAATAATCATCATAAATCGTATTTTGTTGAATGCAATGTGTATGTATGATTTTTTTTTTTGCCATCGGAATGCATTCTCTTTTCCAGCCATTTTCTTAAATAAATTCATTCGTGACATAATGTAATTCATCACAGAATTTTTTTTTTTTTTTGAAAAATATATAAAAATATGCATGTGAACAAAATATTTAACTAAACGGATTCTAGTCATGCAGATTCACGTTCAAAGAAAAAAAAAAAATTCTTTTGTCACCGACGACGACGGTATGACAATTTTTTTTCCATTGTTGAGTTTATCAATAGAGAACCAAAAAAAAATGAAATAATTTTTTCAATGAAAACGGAAAATTTTCCATTTTTTTCTTGATTTTTACCGGATTTTTTCCAAAAAAAAAAAATTCATTAAGAATCATTTCCGGAAAAATGATACTTTGAAACAATATCCTTAACACACATTGAATCGAATTATAAATGAATTATATTATTCGAACAAGAGAAAAAAAAAGATAAATTTCAATTACCAATAAAATGAATGAATGAAATTGATTACAGAGAATTTTCCATCATCATTGGCTAATTAAATCAAAGAAGAAAAAGAAGAAGAAAAAAAAATTGATAATAATAATTTCTAGCCATCATCAGATGATTAATAATAGCATTTGTGAACATTTTTCAAAAAAAAAAAGTTATAAAAAGCTAGAAATTCCATTCTCATTGGTCGAAATGAAAGGAAAAAAAACACTGAAATGTTCGTCCCTACGGGCCATAATCATCATCGGAATCTAAGGATGATGATGATGATGATGAAAACATGGAATCTTGTATAATAATTATTATTGCTCATTTTCTCTCTCTCTTTTTTCCTCTATGAAGAGAATATAATTTTGAAATTGGATATCTTAATTTGAAGATTTTTTTCTCTGTCAAGCAAGTAAGTAAGTACAAACAGAGACAAAGAATAAAAAACCTAGCAGAGTAGTGGTGGAACCAAGAAAAAAATCCTGCAAATATTGCCATGAAAAATATATCAACTTAAGTGTAATGTTCCAAGGATTTATTATTCGTTAATGATTAATTATACGACTAAATGTGTTTCATTTCTAGAATATTGTTGTAAAAATATGGATTTGAAAGGATTTTTTTTTCGCCTTGCTCTCGTCGTTTTGCGGTCCTATTGCCTATGTGATTCATGTGTGTGTGTGTGTGTGTCTGAAAATACCCAAAAATGCTATCAACCGGAGATGACAATAATTAATCACCAAATGCCAAGTGTTTTGTTTGAAACGTTGATCGTTTCGTTTCGTTTCGTTGTTTTTTTGTTGTTGTTGTTGTTCGCGAAACTTTTCGCATCGTTGTATCCAGGATTGTCGTTCAACCAACAAACAAGAACAATATGATAGCAAATAAAAATGATGATGGTAATATATATGAAAAAAAAGAAGAATAAGAAAAAAGATTCTGTGAGAGACAAACAATAACACATTAATACCATACTGATTGTGTTTGTGTAATGTGATAAAAGAATTTCAAGATTCTATCGATATATTAAATTATATATTTAGTCACATTTAAACTGATGAAATGATAAAACCACAATTTATCATCAGCCAATGTGGATAAAAATACATATTCGATTATTATCATCATCAAATAAATGAAAAAAAATGATTTGCCACATTAAATTAGAGATGTAATGTGGTTGGAGGCCAAATATTTTTAGGGAACCAATATTCTATTTATATGTAATCAGAAAAAAAAGTCAACGATAATCATATTGAATTGACCAAAAGGCTAAATTGATCATCAAGATTGGTCATTGATGATCTCACACATCACACACTATAAAATGATCATCAAGCCAATAATGAATTGTAAATGTAAAGAAAAGCTGTGAATCGGAAATTTTTTTTTCAGAAAAAAAGACATTCAATCATCATCATCATAGTAATGATGAAAATTTTTTTTATTCAATTTCAATGTAAGAACAAACCTACATTTTTGTTTGGACATGGAAAATGAAATTATGTTGTCCAAAAAAATTTTTGTTAATGAACAAGAAAGATGAAATGAAAAACAGTGTTTCTTTCTTTTTTAGGCCATCGCTGGATTTAAGGGATAACACCACTGATATAATTATAAATCCAATGCACGGATATTTACCATTCTTTTTTTTCCCTTCATTTTTGCGGTTCATTTTATGATGATTTTGTTTTTTGTTTTCGATTATGATTAAATAGGTGCCATGATATATAAACAACAACAACAACAACAACAATTGAATGAAATGTATCATCATCATCATCATCATTATTAATTTTTTTTAGAACAAATTGAAAAAGTGTTGATTACTTAAAATTAAATCAAATTAAGATGATGATAAATTCTGTTCAAAATCTAAATGGAATCATAAAGAATATTCTCGATAATATTGTGGATTTTTTTTTCAATAATAAAAAAAAATAGTTAATGCACGACACACACATGATCATCGAATCGATCGTTTTCAAACCAACACAACTACAACAAAGTGATTCATCAATCAAATTGACCGACCGACCGACCGACAAACCGGCCGGTCATATATATAAATTAATTTGTTTTCATTCTAATATTACAATATATTAAATTTAGTA